GTTCTCTCAGTCAGATAAGACGTGAGCCATTTTAGCTTACCTCCACGAATTCCAATTGAATATAGTTTCTCAATTAATTTGTGGATGTCTACTGTCAAAAGCCTTGGATAAGTCAAAATAAAGAACATCAGTTAATCGATTTTGTGCCAAGGCTCTTTTCCAGTAAAAATCACAAGTAATCAGTTGAAGAGTAGTGGAAGATCCCTTCATAAACTCAAACTGTTCAGATGGTATGAGATGCTTTTGCACGCAGAATGACAGCAATTTTCTTCTCACAATCTTCTCAGCAACTTTTCAGACCACAGAGTTAATGCTTATGGGCCGAAACTCCGAGGCCTTTTGTGGGTTCTGAACTTTAGGAATTAGGAAAATGGCCTTAGAAACATGCAACCTTTCCAACTTTTTGTCTTCATAATTCAAACAACCTCATTATCATTATCGTGTGCCTCACTTGCTTTGGAATGCTCAAAAATATTTGAAAACTCTGCTAGATTATACGAAAAGCGTTGCCCGGGCAGAGTAATTAGCGCTAGGACGGAGCGGTTCAGAAGGGCACACACCAGTGGCGTACCGAGGGGGGGGGGGGCGGGGGGGGGCGCGCGCCCCCCCCCCCGAGAACGGGTCGCGAAATTTTTGAAAGTTACTTACATGGGTTATAAAAATGTGCAAGTGACTTGTTTTTACTTGTAAATGATTAAAATAATTTTTTAAATTTTTTAAAAATTCATTTTAGCCTTATAAAAAAATTTTTTTCGGGGGCGTGGCTGACGCCACGCCCCCTTTTTCCAGATTTTAGGGGTCGGGGACCCGGAAAAATTTTGAGAAGCACCCCAAAAATTTTTTCGGAGTGCGTGGCTAACGCCACGCACCTTCCTTAGAAAAAAAATTTTTGTCGCGCCCCCCCCCCCCCGAGCCGAAATCCTGGGTACGCCACTGGCACACACCCTATACAGGGTGCGACAAAATTACCCTGGGTGCCAGAAGGATACTAGACGGGCTTGAGGACAGATCAAGTATGCACTTGTTTTTACCAACACAATCAAGGCTAAGGAATGATGAGAGAGCACACACGAGGAAAGGGAGACTGCGTCGCGGGTACGAGCGGTCACCTTCCAGCCGCCAATCCCGCTAAATCAAAGGGTACTCTGTACGCAAAGATGACTTTGAGAACTTATATAATACCAGCTGGCATACGCGGTTCCTTCCGCCCCTGTCAAAACACTATGATAAAAGTTCCATCCCTATCCCTGTACAATCAATCAGCATGCTCGATTACCCCTCTGTGCCAACTCCCAGCCCCGTAGGTCGAACTTTGCAAAAAAATCGATAAAAATCGATAAAACCGATATCGATCGATGACGAAAAGTAGCCTATGACACCCGCCGGGGCCCGAAGTGTATGTGTGCCAAGTTTGGTCCGGATCGGTTCAGAAATGGAATTTTCTACGAAACATACGTACATACAGACATACATAGATACATACAAACAGACATTCAGCTTTATATATAAGATCTTTTTGATAACCTTTTGTCTTGCTTAGTAGTTGCGCACAATAGAGCAAGTCTCCGCCTCTAACACTGCTAACAAGGAAACGATACTTGGTGTCCGTGGCCTTTTGAGATGAAACGTATACCATCACATTCGTCTTGGGACGCTGATTTCGAATCTGACTTCCGTTTCTGCTAATCGTTTCTCTAGAAGAAGTTATGAAGAATTTTCGCGTCAATGGTCGCTAAAAAGATACGGTCGCGGATGCCTAACTTTTAAAAAGAAGCTTGATTGAAGCAATGCAAAACTTAAAAACACAAGAGGTCGAGACTAAACCTGCATTAACTTGCGAGGCTTTCGCACTAGCCACTACACCACATCTTAGCGGCGGTTTGGACATCTCACTACATCTCCTTTGGCGCGATCCTTCATAACTATTTTCCGAGAAACGATTAGCAAAAACGGAAGTCAGATTCGAATCAGTGCTCCAAGACGAGTATAATGGCATGCATCTCATCTCAAAAGGCCATGGACACCAAGTATCGTTCCCTTGTAAGTAAATAAGTTTGAAAATTAATTCGAAGAGAATTTTTGATTTTCAAAACATTGTCGAGAGGCAGCATACCGAAATTGGTGCAATTCCGATATTCCTGTGGGCTCCTCATGTAAGTTCAAAACCATTCTAACTAATCGGTCATAATAGATACTCTTCTAAATCTTATATTAGGTCGTCCCGAAAGTATTTTCGCTTTTTTCAAACAATCGCCACGGTCCGCGGAACAAACATCCTTAGAAGGTCTTGGAATCATTCGATGCAGTTTTTATGCTCTTTCAAATGGTTATCTTTATATTGCAGTTTAACAAACGAGCTCTCAGAAAATTACCAAAAACTGCGACCTCGCTTTTTACCAAGGTCAAGTTTCGCTATTTTTCTAAATTCCTGTAGTAATTTCCCGAAGGAGTTTAAGTGACCATTAAATAGAGCAAACAAAGTAGGATATGAAACAACTTGCAAGACCTTCCCCTTCTCTTTTAGATTGCATGCTTTCTTTCTTGACTTACTATTAACTATCATCTTGCTCGACCGGAACCGTATGTGTTGAGTTTGATTGAACTTTTAAAAAATTCAGATTGATCTGCATGATTTATAAGATTGTTCTGAAAGCCTGCCTATAAAGTTTATAGACTACTACTAACTGGTGGTTCCGGCCTCACCAGAGACTCTAAATTAGTTCAAGCAAAATATTTCCCTTACTTCAAATTTCTACCATGCTCGAAAAGCACTTTGAGACGAACTTGCCGCATCCTGCCGACCTTGAGATTAGAATATCTTTACCGCCCCTGCTTACATGTTTATCGGAAAATGACTGCTTAGAGCACGCCAGACTTTCACTTTCTAGAGTTAAGTAAACAAATCAATAAATCAATAGAAGAACCTCGGGAACCGCCGCGAAAACTAGCCCTAAACCACCACCGGGGTCGAAAACATATGTGTGCAAAGTTTCATCTCAATTGGTTCGATGGTCGGCGTTTCTACAGGGTGTCCCAAAAGTATGTATGCACTGTTTGATCGTTAATATCTCTCTTCCCAAGAAGTCTTTTGCCTTGCTTTAGGTACCATTTCGTAGAGCTGGCTTCAACTTAGAGTTACAGTATAGAGAGAATCACCGACCGCTCTTCATTACTGTAGGATTGCGGTAGGAACTTGAAACATATGGTGTCTAAAAGCTGCCATTTCAAAATTTTTCAAAAAAATGTGAAAACTTGTGTAATAGGGTTTTTATGGACGCTGAGTTCAATACTCAACTATTCATAAGATTGCGAACTTTCTAAACGGTGTAACCGCACTTTTTAGGAACATTGAAAAAATGGCCGCTACCTCTTACCTGGCATAACTCTTCAATGAAGCATCATAATGAGTTGGGAACTTTACAATCAGAATTAGCAACCCTAATTAGCCTAGTGTAAAAGTTTTAAGGCTGTTTTGTTTCTTTTTTGAGGCAAAATATGGCCTTTCATGACTCAAAACCCTCTTTGAAGCTTCTACCGTAGTCCTACAATAACGAAGAGAGGTGGGTGATTCGTTCTATACTGAGAATCCAACTTGAAGCCAGCTCTACAAAATGGTACCTAAAGCAAGGCGAAAGACTTCTTGAGAAGAGAGGTATTAACGATCAAACAGTGCATACATACTTTTGGGACACCCTATATAAGGAATGAACAACCTAACCAACCTCCTCACAGACATTGAGTTTCATATCCAGAGTGTCCCAAAAGTAAGTACACACTTTTCAACGTCAATATCTCTCTTCCCACTGGGTCTTTTTTGCCAGTAAAGTACCGTTGTGTAAAGAGGTTAACAACTTAGATTCACAGTATCGATCGAATCACCAATCGCTCCTCGTTACTGTAGGATTACGGTAAGAACCATTGTGAAATATGCCATCTGACAAAATTTTTTTCAAAAAATCTGAAAAATCGCGTACTAGGGTTCTCGCGCACGCTGATTCCACTACACAACTTTTTACGAGTGCTTTCAGCTTTTTGACGGTGTAATCACATTTTTGGCAAATACTGCAAATTTGGTTATTACGGTTTACCTGGGATAACTTTGGAAAAAAGCATCACAGTAAAGTGGAAGTTTCATATTCGAAATCAGCTGCTTCCATTTCCATAGTATAAAAGTCTTTGGCTTTTTTGGTTATTCTTTGGTTTTGTTCCGAGGCGGAATATGGCTTCCAACGACCTTAAATCCTTGTCGAAGTTCCTACAGTAGTTACAGTAATGAAGAGCAATTCACGATTCGCTTCATACAGTGAATCTGAGTTGAAGCCTCCTCTGAAGAATGGCAATTAAATGGCGGAAAAAGACATACTGGGAAGAGAGATATCAACGATTGAAACTGTGTAGTTACTTTTGAGACACCCTGTATATAGATATAGCGTTTATATTTGCACCAAAAGAGCCTGTCAATCAGCGTTATGCTGGTCATGTGTACTGGCAAACCTATACTACCGTACAGGAATACCATGGACGCTGTTTCCCCTGAAGTGCGGTGGCTGCATCGCAATAAAGTGAATTATTGAGCGCTAAAATCGGTGAAGTTCTTCTTGCTTTTGAAGGGCGTCCGGCATCGAGAGCAAGTATTACTCGAACGGCGTTATATCTTCCGAATATGGAGGGCATAGCACAGTTTTTCGATCAAGCTTCTGCAATTTTTACAGGTGTACCATATGCAAAAATCTGCCTTTTCCTGGTCCTCGTATCAAGTTACCTTCCTCTTTGTAGCGTTATTGTCGAAGGTACTGTGGCGCATTGAAAACCCTTCTCACCAGCGCCTTTCGTTCATTTGATTTTGATTCTTAGATAGAGCTGGCGGAGCTTTTTGACCATACGCGTGAGGGCAAACCGAGTTTGCTTTATGCGTTGACGAGTTAATTTGCTTTTCTTTTTGCACTTTTTTTGAGAATGGTAATGCTTGTTTGCCGTCTGGCTGTGAATTTTGCCTTCAGGACGTGGATACGTTGGATACGAGGTTGCCGCTTGCGGTCACGTTGTTTGTCGGGACCGTTACACAGACGATAACGATTGTCACACTACCCATATACACAACGCCTGCCGTCGTCATTCTAATCATTCCAGCTCTCGTCTTCTATCTCTTCATTTTGGTAAGCGTGCGGCTTACATCTATTTCTTGCCCGTTTTCTTTGAACAGAACCATAATTCAAGGCGAATTTTTGGATTTGCTATTTTTTTGCCGCCTCTTCTGCTACTGAAAAATATCGTTTGCAAACATGGAGAAGTTTGCTAAAAACCTGGCCTTGTAGATACTCTTTATGTCCATGTTTGTGTCCACAACGATTGTTGAAATATCAGTGTCACATGAGTCTGGGATTGGGACGTGATAATTGCTTGTTCCACCAGTGTGGCCTAGTAAGCGTAGTGGTGCAGAAGTGGATGTCGTGATACTCGAAAATCAGTGAATATAAGTTTTCAAGTTGACACAGATCAGCAGTAGAGAAATACCATGGAATACTGGTAGCGCCGCATCAGCGGCAGAGAGGTGGGGAGGTGGTGACTCGTGAAGAGACGGGCAGGCCGCGGGGCGAGGCTCGGTACTGGACGTCGGCTTGTGGCGCTCGGTAGTGGCTATATATCGTACTAGATATCGTACTAGTTGACTTACCCGGCTCCGCCCGGCCCTGTCATTATTATATTCGTTCAGCATGCTCGATTACCCCCCTGTGCCAACTCCCAGCCCTGTAGCTCAAATTTTGCAAAAAAAACGATAAAATCGATATCGATCGATGACGAAAAGTAGCCTATGACACCCGCCGGGGCCCGAAGTGTATGTGTGCCAAGTTTGGTCGGGATCGGTTCAGAAATGGAATTTTCCATTCGGAACATACGTACAGACACACATACATACAGACAAACATACAGATATTCAGCTTTATATATAAGATCATGTAGCTATCATCCTCATATCTGCAACAGTTGGTCTTGATCTAATAATACACTTTGCCTTTATCTAGCCTTATATATCTTGCTATGCGCTTACGCCTGCAGCTTATTCCATGTCATACTAAAAGGTACGCAACCGCTATCACCAGAAATACTGATTTTCGAAGTCAATACACTGAATTTCCCCCACAATGGTCGGCCGCCTCAACTTGGCGTGGGGTGACACTGGGTGTCGAACTGCGATGCACAGCCGAGTGTATACTCTGGCAGGGCCTCCCAAGCTGTGAAGAAGTTCGACGTTTCCGGTTTCGGCCGGATGCATAGCTAAGAACCGGCCACGCCAGATCCCCCGCCGTCTGGCTTCTTCTGGTCGCTAGGCGGTCCCTCCCCGCTCCAAGCCCGGGGTCAGCGATCGCCCCGTGGAAATCAAGAGTAGGCCTAGTAAGCTACCTCTTGTAGGGGAAACATTTCATTACTCGATCAGCAAAAAGAAGAGAAATAAACCCTGCACATTGGATCCCGCCTACGGCGCCGGGTGGTAGCAAGAACGATGTCAGGGTACTCAGGGCGCCTTTTGGATTGGACAAAAACGACACGTCTGCCAGGACGACACGCCATGGAGACTGCCTCATGCTCTGCACCTACAACGCCAGGACAGTCTCCACAAACGCCGACCTCCACGCTCTTCTCGACGCTGCAGAGCACATCAAGTACCACATCATCGCTCTGCAGGAAACGAAGTCCAGGAAGAAGGACGTGCGACAGATGAGTGATGGGCTAATCATATGTGGTGTAAAGGTTCCATCACGAAACGTTGGAGGCGTTGGCTTTGTCGTCCACCCATCTATCGTCCATCTTGTCGATTCGCATGAGATCCTGTCACCTCGACTGGCCATCCTACGACTACGACCTCCACGTCAGAAGACCATCAGTATCATCAACTGCTACTCTCCAACATCAGCAGCTGACGACTCAGAACTAGATGCTTTCTACGAAGACGTGGAGCAGGTCGTCCGCAACGAGAAGTCCTTTTACAAGTTCGTTGTGGACGACTTCAACGCGAAAATCGGGATGCCACTAGAAAAGGAGTATAGGATCGGGAAGTTTGGATATGGGCTCCGGAACGAAAACGGCAACCGTCTCGTTGGGCTTCTCTCCGACGCACGACATTTTCCAGGGAAATTCCATCTTCATGAAGAAAGAACGTCGCCGGTGGACTTGGGAATCGCCCAGCGGAACGACTCACGCGGAGATCGACCACAGTCTCATCAACCGAAGGTGAAGCTTGCTTGATGTCTCAGTAGTTCCATCCTTCTGCAGTGGCTCCGATCATCGTCTCCTTCGAGCGAAGGTACGATTCATCGAAAGCTGGAAAAGAAGGTCTGTCACAATGCCGTAAGGAGAGTCGTTTATGTCGGTAACAGGTTGGAAGAGCTCATATCAGATTGTAACCGCCCCTTCGAGGAGGACCCAACGTACGACTACGACCTGCTTCTGAAAGGATTGCGAGCTCGCGGAGAGTGCGCCTTCTGAGAAGAACTTGGAACGCATTTCGAAAACCACCAAGGAATTGCTCGGAAGAAGAAGATTTCTGAGACAGGATCCGAATGCAACCGATCTCGAGCGACTGCTAGCAAACGCCAGTTGCAGACTGCTTTGCAGGAGGATCTCAGGAAGTACAGGCAAGCCAAGATACTGGAAGCAGCCGAAGAAAGGCGAAGTTTCAGGAAGTGCCGAAGGGAACTCTGCGAATATCATGTACCGTTGGCTGCACTATTGAGCGAAGACGGGACTTCGACTTCTTCCGATATAAGATGGAATCTATCGCGAAGAACTTCTACAGCAACCTCTTCCGCTCATCAGCCACCGTGCCGATGCTGTTGTTCCCACTGGAGAAATACCACCACAAATTCTACCTGCTGAAGTGCGTACGGCGATACAGACCATGAAAACATCCACTGCTCCAGGACCAGATCATCTTTCCGTCGAACTTCTGCGAGCCGGAGGACACCACCTACACGAGGTTCTTGCGTCGCATTTAACATTTTACCTCCAAAAGGAGAAGATTCTCGACCAGTGGAGAACATCAAGAACCGTCCTTCTCTTCAAGAAGGGCGAACGGAGGGATCTTCGGAACTACCATTTAATATGCCTGTTGAGTGTGCTCTACAAACTTTCCACGAACATTATCCTCGCTCGCATATCTAGGATACTGGATGAAGCTCAACCCCAAGAACAAGCTGGATTCCACAAGGGATTCAGTTGCATGAACCACATCCAGACGGTATCGAGGGTCATAGAAGTCTGCCGGGAACACCGACTGCCTTTCGTCCTAACCTTCATCGGCTACGAGAAAGCCTTCGACAGCGTTGAAACGAACGCCATTCTGTCAGCGTTAATCGATTAAGGAGTGGACTCAGCTTACCTGAGGACACTAGCCGACTGCTACAAGGGATGTACAACAACGATGCAGCTATTCCATCGTCTTCTGACCATTCCAGTCAGAAAGGGGGTTTGACAAGGCGACACTATTTCGCCGAAGCTGTTCACCGCGGCCTTGCAGTGAGTGATGAAGTCACTGGACTGGGACGAAAGAGGCATACGAGTTGATGGAAGATTCCCGTCGAACCTTCGTTTGCGGACGACATCGTTTTCTGCGAAGCAGAGACGATGCTGAAGGAACTACACGAAGTAGGGAAGAAGATGGATTGCGAATAAATTGGAAGAAGACTCAGCTCATGAAGAATGGCTTTTGCGAAGATGCAGAAGTAAAATTGGAAGGCACCCCTATCATGGAAACGTACTTGTACTTGTATCTCGGAACTTCTATGAACATGGAGAACGACTTGAGGGAAGAACTTGGCAGGAGAAGAAGAGCAGCTTGGGCGGCCTTCGGGCCTCTGAAGAAAGTCGCCGACCAATTGACGGACTCTTCGTGCCCACCTTTCACTCAACCGTTCTCGTGGCGCTCTGTTACGCAGCTGAGACTTGGGTCGACACTGTAGCCACGTCGAAAGCTCTACGGACCATCCACAAAGCGTTTGAGCGCAGTTTTCTGAAGACCCGACACAACAACATCTTATCGGACTTCGCAGTACGGATATGAGAAGATTGTCCCGTCTTCGTGACCCAGCGGATCACGTTGCGAAAGCGAAACATCGATGGGCCGGTCACAACTCATGGACGCAGCCACCGACAACGGCCAAGAAGATCGTGGATATCTGAAGCGAGGGACAGGGATTGATGGAAATTTTTGTGCTGAGGCCCGCACGCCACGTGAAGACGGGCCATCTAAGTATCTAAGTAAGTATACACCGAATTTCAACTGCGACTGATAGAAGAGATCCAAGTCGACTTGAAAATGGTATAGAAGATCGGAGTACGGAATATGTTATTTCTCGGACACTGCTTGAAGGCAGCGTCAAGCAAACGTCGATAAAAGAATATTTCGCTTGCTTTGGCTTGACCCAAAAAATGCGGCTCGGAGAGACCGAAAGTATCGAACAGCTTCCCGTAGCCCTCGAATCTAAATCTTGATATGTGGACGAGGAACCCGCGCCAAGGGCAAGACAGAGTCTTGTGGGACCAATGATCGTAATTGTGTGTGATAAGCGCCCTGCGTTCGCAGACTGGGTCGAGCAAGAGGTGTGGCATGCTACCACCGGATACGACCCCCCCCCCCCCCATAGGTTCTGTCCCGATGCCTCCTCCACCCCCCCCCCCCCCTCCGGCACTATCGTTCGCCTTCCATGGACATGACATTAAGGCTCTACCAAGCATAATTAGTAACATTTCCATGATTATTATGTATTAGGTCGTTCCGAAAGTAATGTCGCTTTTTTCAAATGAACGTCACATCTCATGGAATCAAGATTTCCAAGAGATCTTAAACATTCAATGCAGCATTTTATCCACTTTTCAATGGTTGTAATATCGTTGCATAATATTCAATGAGCTCTGGAAAAATTACCAAAATCGGCGACCCATGTTTTTTGCTATGGTCATGTTTGGCTATTTTTCTCAGTTTTTGTACCTATTCTCCGAAGAAATACAAGTGACTGTTAGATAGAGCAAACCCTATAGGACATAGAGCAATTTTTTCTTTTCCTTAGCTTGCTTCTTGCGAGTTTCTGGATTCAATTTTTCAATGCTATTAAATCCCATATTTGGTCAACTCAAACCTCACAGAACAACAACCGGCAAG